ATTGAATAATAAAAAGGTAATCATTGGAGAAAAAAATAAGATTTAGCCCCATTCTTACAAGAAACACTATAAATATTTAAATTTATATTTAATATATTTAATGTAAGGATACGGGATGGTTAAAATTAAAATGATGGTGGAGCCTGGCCGGTTTGGCTCAGTGGTTAGAGCATCAGCCTGCAGACCAAAGAGTCACAGGTTCAATTCCGGTCAAAGGCACAACCCCGGTTGTGGTTCAGTTCCCTGCCCTGGTCAGGTTCCTGAGAGGCAAACAACTGATGTGTCTCTTGCATCGATCTCTCTCTCTCTCTCTCTTTCTCTCTCTCCCCCTCTCCCTTCCAACTCTGTCTGAAAATAGATGGAAAAATATCCTCGGATAAGGATTTTTAAAAAGTAAAATAAATAAATTAAATAAAAAGATGGGGGAAATATGCCATGCAAAATATAACCCAAAGAAAGCTGGTATAGCAATATTTATATGGAATATATTAGACTTTATAGCCAAAAACATTTAATACTATCATTTAATACTAATTACTCATTTTACAGAAAATAAAATAATCTAAAATTTATATTTACCAAATTAAATATTTTAAGATATACAAAAGATGACAGAAGTGAAAGGAAATATTTATACAACCACTGTTAGGAGAGTTTTCTCATTAGCTGATAAACAGATTAAAGAAATAAATAAATTCGATATGAATTTAGAAATTATTAATAATACAATTAACCAACCTAACTTGTTCAAAAGAGCATACCCAACAGTAAAACATACATTTTTCCTAAAACATTCACCAACATGTTATTTGCTGAGCCATTTAATACATTTCAAAGAACTAAAATGATACAGAATATAAGTTTATATGGTTGAAGGACAAAGCAGAAATCAAAACTAGAAAGATAAATTGGACAGCCCCACTTAGAAATTAAGCAACACACTCCTAAATAACCTGTGGGTCAAAAAAAAATAAATCACAATAGAAATTTGAAAATATTTTAATTGAATGACATTTAAAATAGGACATTGTCAAACTTGGGGGATATGACTTAAAGCTGTGGTTAGAGAGAAATTAAAACTTTCCAGCCATATATTAGAAAAGGAGCAAGTTTTTATTTTTATTATTATTTTTTCTTTATTGATTTTAGAGGGAGAGGGAGAGAGAGAAATATCGATGAGAGAGAACATCGACTGGCCGCCTTCTGTATGCCCCCCCACCAGGGATTTGGCCCACAACCTGGGCATGTGCCCTGACCGGGAATTGAACCAGTGACCTCTTGGTGCATGGGTTGGCGCTCTACCAGTGAGCCACACCGGCCGGGCAAGGAGCAAGGTTTTAAATCAATGATATAGAATTCTTTCTGAATAAACTTTAAAAAGAACAACAATAAAACCCAAAGATTTTAAGAAAGAAAATCATCAAACTAAGAGTAGAAATCAATAAAACAGAAACAGATATACAACGGGAGAAAAAAAACAACCACCAGAGATTGGTTCTTTGAAAAGGTAAATAAATTAACAAGCCCTTAGCAAGATAAAAAGAAAACAGAAATGAATGAAAAGGGGAAATTGCTACACATATTACAGGTATGGAGAATAAAATTAAAAAGACATTATTGAACAACTTTATGCTAATAAATTTGAAAATGTTGATAAAATGGACACATGCCTTAAAAAATATATCATACCAAAACTAACAAGAAAAAAATAAAAAATCTGAATAGTCCAATTACTATAAAAAAAAGATCAAATCCAGAATTTAAAACCTTCCCAAATGTCCCCTTTCCCTCCCAAACCCAACCTCAAAACTCCCCTCCCCCATCCAAAGAAAACAACTACAGGCCCAGATGGTTTCACTAGTGAAATTCTAACAGATCTAAAATAGAATGAATACCAATTTTATATAAACCCTTTTAGAGAATAGAACTGGACTACATAACCTTGATTGCAAAATCCAAAAGACATTATAAAAAGGAAAAATTACAAGAAACAGGTCTTATTAACATAGAAAAAAATCCCAAATAAAACACTGGCAAATTTAGTCCAGCGATATATTAAAACTTTAACACAAACTCCAGGAAGAAATCATCTAATATCAGACTAAGAAAGCTAGGGATCTTGACTAAAAATCTCACTACAATATTCTCACCTAAGGAAATATAAGATATTCTTGATAGCATAAGGAATAATGGATGCCAAGTTGCAAATCATATGTAATGCAAGGTTATAGACAGATGGCAAGTGCTCTATGCATTCCAATTCATTCACCTGTGCTAGGAATGTAAGTACACTCTCTACATGAGAAATGAGCAGTTACAGAGAAGAGGGCCAACAGCAAATTCTCCAATCAACCAACAGAAACAAAGGCATCCTCCCATTTCTAATACCAGCTTCTCAAACAGAGGAAGTAATTGTGACCTATGAAAAACCACATCAGTTTTCTTTCTACCCATGTCAGTGTTCCATACTTCTACTGCGTGGGACACATTTTTCCACCAGAAGCCTCATGCTTTAACTCTCATATATCTGGAAAGATTACTGCATAACTCAGAAAAACAGGTAATCATAAGTCAATTACACAATCTTTGTGGTTTATAAATTTACAGTTTATAGCTGATGCCTAAGTTCCAGAAGAAATTTCTTCTACCTTTGTGGAAAAAACAAAAAATCCTTAATACTAGGCCATAAAGTCAAATCTGCATTTTAAAAATGATATTCTAATAATTAATGAACCTAGAAAAATGAGGATTTAAGTTAAGAGGAAAGCTGCCAATTAAGTGCTCTTTATATTGTACAAATTCTGTTCAGTTCTGGCATCTGTCCGGTTTAAGATTCACTGCTCAAGGGGTTTCTGAACAAGCTTCAAAAATTTTCCAGGTGTTTTCTGCTAACTCTCAACTCTGAGAGGCAGTGGCAGGTTCAAATCCCAAAAACCAAAGATTCTGTGAACTGTGAACAATTTCATATTACTAACGATTAAGACAAAACAAACATGAAGTATGAAAAGGCATTCTATAGAACGGCAGGCCAAGACAATGACACTTTCTAAGGTTTTTTTCTTTTTTTAATCCTCACCTGAGGATATTTTTTCATTGATTTTCAGATAAAGTGGGAAGAAGGGAGGGTGGAAGAGAGGGGGAGAGAAAGGTGGAGAGAGAGAGAGGAGAACACTGATGTGAGAGAGACACATCGATTGGTTGCCTGCCACACACCCCAACCAGGGCTGGGGATCGAACAGTAACTGAGGTACGTGCCCTTCACTGGAATCGAACCCGCGACTCTTTGGTCCAAGGGCCAATGCTCTAACCACTGAGCAAAATCAGCCAGGGCACAATTTCTAAGTTTTAAAAGGAAAGCTTACTGCATGTATACCTAATGTGCTGACAACTAACAAGTAAGAAAGGGATGTCTGTGGAAAGCAAAATAAAATCATGCAGGAAACATGAGTAAATAAGCCCATATATCTTGATACAAAGCCAACAGATTCAATCACTAATTTAATCTAGGTCAGCATCATCTCATGCCTAGAATAATACTGTGTTTCCCAGTTAATTTCACGCCAGTGAGACACATGCCCCAAAGACATCTGAAAATCTAAATCTCCCTCAAACATTTTCACCATGTCATTCCACAGCTAAAACTATGGCTCCAGATTATCTATCAACCAAATCTAAACTCTGGTTGTTCAGGACCAACATAATTTGACTAATCTAATCTATTCAACATTACTTTAAGAGATGAGAATGTTGGGTTAATTATGGCTATAAATTCTCTACAGTTCCTCCCTTCATTTCCTGAATGTGCAGTATCCCTTTGACTTGAACAGACTAACAGAATGTGGCAGAAGTGACACTGTGTGACTTCTGATGCTTGGCCTCAAGAGGACGTGCAGTTCCTGCTCTTGCCCTTTTAGAACACTACTAGGTAAGAAACCTGGGCTATCCTGCTGGAGAAGCCCATGGAAGGGAACCAGCTGATGGTCTCAGCTAGTCTTCTGGACTGCCTTCTAACAGATACATGCCACATTTTTTTAATACACTAGAAGTAGCAATGATAATAATTCTCCAGATTCCAGATACAGTTATTTTGTTTAAGGATGAATTTTTTTTGTTTCTTTATTTCATTGTTATAGTTTAGAATAACTCTCAGTGATAATGTTTTTGTTAGAGTCCATATGATAAAAAATTTAATATATACTAATTTAAATCATATCGTTTTCATTTAATGTATCAAAATTATAAAAATGCAAAAGACAATTATAAAAGAAATATAAGTACATAAATGGCATTGCTTTTCTATATTAAAATTAATATGCAGAATAAGATTTTCCACTATTGAGAAATTCTCTGATAAATATACATATTGGTATAAAAAGTACCTTATTAAGATATTAAAATTTTTACAAAAAAGTTTATTGAAATCATGAAGTATTTTTTAAGAGCTGAATGAATCCCTGCATCTAAAAACAAAGTACATAAATAAGTGAGATCATGTGGTACTTGTGTTTCTCTAACTGGCTTGCTTCACTTAGCATAATACTCTCTAGGTCCCTCCATGTCATCTCAAAGGGTAAGAATCTTTCTTTCTCACCACTGCACAGTACTCTATTGTGTAAATGTACCACAGCTTTTAAAAAAAATATATGTTTTTATTGATTTTTTTCGAGGGAGAGAGACAGAAACACTGACGTGAGAAACACTGATCAGCTGCCTCTTGCACACCCCTACTGGGGATCAAGCCCGCAAACTGGGCATTTTCCCTGACCGGGACCCCTTAGTCCATGGGATGATGCACAATCCACTGAGCCACACCAGCTGGGCTTTTTTATCCACTCATCTACTGATGGACACTTGGGAGGAGGGGATCAATGGGGGGGAAGGGGGGGACATCTGTAATACTTTCAAAAATAAATAAATAAATAAAACATGACCAGCTAAAAACAAACAAAACAAAAAAGTACAATATTTCATCACTCTTCCTTTAGTTTTTTAGAACCTACCGGAGAGATTCAGCCATTCGCCTCAAATCTTCATTTTGCTGTTTTAAGCGTTCAAGCTTTGCCAGTATCTTGGACAGTTCTCGGCTAGAATGATCAGGGTGGTCATTATCCCGTACCAAATGACCACCTATATAAAAGAGCAAGGTCCCCCAGGCAAAAAGAATGAGCATAATCCAACGCCAGGAACCAGTCCATGGCCGCATTTTCAGATTTTCAGCTCACTCCCCTGGCTTCCTGGAGCTCAAAGAATTGCAAACATCTTAATTCTGTTTCCTGTTAGTCAAAGGTAGTAGCCTTTTGTTGTTTCAACACATGATGATTCAGACAAATTAGTGTCTCTGGTAGTCCTGTGGTGAATCTTTCAAAGAGATCCTCCTGGTGGTATGAGTAGGAAGTTTTACTGTCCTGTGCTTCATGGACTCTACATGCTGTGGAAAGAGTAAGATATGTATTTATTTAGGATATATGAAAATAGCATATGCTGAGATTCATGGAGTTAAAGGAAACACATTGGTGTTGACTGGCCAACAGGCTAGTAAATAACATATGTGCCGATAATAAGAGGTAAAAAGCAAAAGCTTTTAAGTCTTCATATTAAATCAACTATGTATATGAGGGTTCTACCAGATAAATTAATTAGCTCTATGCCTGAAAGTCCTCTAAGCACCATTATCACCTTTCTTTCTTACTTACATCATTGTGCAACAGGTCATATATGAAGCTTAAAAGAGTGTATCTTTGAACAATCAATCAAACCAAACAAAATGCATTCAACCACATAATCTGAGCTAATCTTTCTACTATCTCAAAAAGAAACATTTTTCTCTTTATAAGTGAATTCATTCCTACAAAATCTCAACTCCATCCCCCTCCATCTCACTGCTCGGTTGCCATTATAGCACTTTGCAGGTGACAGGCAAATTGTCATTTTTAGAATAAATTATAAAAATGACTATATATTAGCCAAGCAAAGGTTATCACATGAGGCCATTAAGCAGCTGGCAACCACTCCAAACATCACAAGCAAAGGTTCATATGGATTAGGTTAGGTTATTCTTTCCTCAAACTTATTTAAAATACCAACAATTGCAACAGAAGTCTAATATCAGTTAAATTTTAGTTACTGTGAATCTTAAGCCACAAATGCACATGCTTTCTAAAGATTGGTTATGGGTTTCATTTGTGAATTCTCCATGATTAGGCTTAAAATTCCCTTTGAAAACAAAACAATTTTCTCTCCAAAGAGAAAATATGCAAGAAAGATATAATATTAACACCATTTGACACTTCTAAGACTACATAAGAAAAGTCTTATTTCCAGGTATATAGTTACTTGTAAAAGAAACGAGAAAAAAATCGTTTCTATATACAAGACTGAATATGATGGAGACTTGAACACTAATTATTAAAGATTAGATAGCCCTGGCCGGTTTGGCTCAGCGGTTAGAGCGCCCACCTGCGGTCCGGAGAGACCCGGGTTCGGTTCCTGCTAAGGGCATGTACCTTGGTTGCAGTTTGTCCCCGGCCCTAGTTGGTCGTGTGGGTGGCAGCCACTCGATGTGTCCCTTTCACATCGATGTCTCTCTCTCTCTCTCTCTCTCTCTCTCTCTCTTCCTCTCTCTCCCCCCCCCCCTCTGTCTGTACAAAAAAAAAAATGTCCTCGGGTGAGGATAAAAAAAAAAGATTAGATAGAAAAGTCATAAAGGAGGCTTGGAAAATTAGAGCAAAGAGCTGCTATTTTTCTACTTTTGAACTTTAAATACCCATTGTTTTTAAATTACTAAGTACTTAAAAAGAAGAAACTCTCAAAAAAAAAAGAAGAAGAAGAAAATCTCTTCAAATGAGGTCCTAGAAACATTCTACTTCCTTCCCATTTGTTCCTACACTATTTTCCTCACTGTTACTGGATCACACTAGCTAAAACACAGAATAAAGAGCTATATTAACTGAGAATTATTTGAAAAGTAAGTAAAAAAGCAATAATCCATGCCCTAGACGGTTTGGCTCAGCGGTTAGAGCATCAGTCCACGGACCAAAGAGGCGCGGGTTCAATTCCAGCAAAGGGCACGTACTTTGGTTGCTGTTCGGTCCATGGCCCTTGTTGGGGTCATGCAGGAGGCAACCAGTCGATGTCTGTCTGAAGATAAATGGAAAAAAGTATCCTCAAGTGAAGATTAAAAAAAATAATAAATAGCCCGGCTGGTGAGGCTAAGTGGCTGAGCGTCGACCTATGCACCAAGAGGTTGCTGGTTCAATTCCCAGTCAAAGCACATGCTCAGGTTGTGGGCCCAAACCCCAGTGGGGTGCATGTAGGAAGCAGCCAATTGATGTTCTCTCTCATCGATGTTTCAATCTCTTTCTCCCTCTCCCTTCCTCTCTCTCTAATATCAATAAAGAAAATAATAAATAAATAAATAAATAAGCAATAATCCAAATGAAAAATTGGTGTGTTGTGTATTGCTTTAATAACTATTCTTTTTTTGAAATGTTTTTATTGATTTTTAGAGAGAACGAAAGGAAGAGAGAGAAACATCGATGTGAGAGAGAAACAATGATTGGCTGCCCCCTGCATGCCCCCTGCTGGGGATGGAGCTGAAAACCTGGGCATGTGCCCTGACTGGGAATCAAACGGGACCTCTCAGTCCATGGGAAGATGCTCAATCCAACGAGCCACACTGGCTGGGCTAATAACTATTCTTAAGTCTATTGAGAACACTCTCTTTATTGACCCTCACTGTTCATTCTGTCACTGTCTCAAAATCTTTTCTAAAACCCTATTCCTCTAATTGCAGGTAGCCCCATCTATTCACTAAAACGTAAGAATAATTAAAGTTTATTCAATGTCTCAGGTAAAAGATTCAGTTATGTAAGGTCTACTTTTCATGTTATATAGAAAAAAATGCAGACACTCTGATGGTCTAAAGGATTAATAATTAAGTCAATAAAAGCAGTTAATTATTAATATTAGAGCTAATAATGTTTGTGACAACATATCTAACACTATAAAGTGCTACCATACCATATGCTGAAAATATGTCCTAGTTAATTCCAAGTTATACCAATAAGATATTTTAAAAATTTTTTATCTTTCACTTCATAGTAAAAGTTAAATTAGGAAGATAACTGTGATAAAAGAAAGTAAAACGCTTTCCAAACAAGAATCATTTAAATAATAAAAATAGGACTTCTGGTCAAGATGGTGGCGTAGGTAAACAAAGTATCACGTACTCCCACAACCACATCAACGTTACAACTAAACTACAGAACAACCATCATTCAAAACCACCTAAAATCAAGTTAAATGGAAGTCCTACAACTACAAAATTAATGAAGCTGCCACATCGAGATTGGTAGGAGGGGCAGAGGCACGGATGGGCCAGTCCCAAACCCACGTGTGGTAGATAAAAATCAGGAGGGTACCTCGGCTGGGAAGGTCCTCCCTGAGGACTGAGGGGTCCCCGTCCCACACCAGGCACCCAGCTCAGGGTTCCCCGTCCCACACCAGGCACCCAGCTCAGGGTTCCAGTGCCAGGAAGAGAATCCCCATAACTTCTGGCTGTAAAAATCAGCAGGAACTGAGGCTGAGGGGAAGCAGCTTAAGAAGCACCAGAGACATACGAGGGAAAACTGAGTTGTTTGGCACTGGGGCAAGGGCTGGAGAGACAACTTTCTCCTGGACAGATGTGTTGTCAGAGGCATTTGTTCCTTTGGTGAACCCTTCTCCTACAAGGCCGGCAGACGTCAGTCATATCTGGGACTCCAGCAACCTGGCTCGCACTATTTTCCCTGCCCTGGTGATTACCTGAGGCCCTGCCACTCCCAGCTTTCAAGCCCACCCAAGCTGTTTCCAGTGGCTTTACCATAGGAATGGCCTGTCTTGGATTCTGCTTCAGATTTTCCTAAATTCTTTCAAACATGCAGTATCTGGTCTTAGTGAGCCCCATACCTCTTATTAAGTGGCCCCAGGCCTGGAACTAGAAGCAGCCAGCCTTGGTTTACAACTTGGCTTTGCCTGGGCACCTCCAAGCCCAGCACAAGAAGCAGCCATCTGCAGACCGCTTTGTAGCTTATGCCTGGTGACCCTGGATAGAACACAGGCAGTGGCTGATCTTGCCCCAGAGCCAGCACACCCAGTGGACAGCTTCAGAACACTGCGAAGCACCACCACCCAACCACCTCCACAAGTGACACACCCAAGGAATGGACTCAGTGGGTACCAGAGCCCTGATGAAGTAAGTCTTGCTCTGTGTGGTGGGCCCCTGTCCAGCTAATCATCCTGGGTAGTCAGAGGTCAGTGAATAGTGGGCACAGCCAGTCCTTGCAGCTGATCAGCCTGAGTAAAATCCTCTCACTGATGTGCCAACAACAATCAAGACTCAATTACAACACAAGGGTGTAAAGTCCACACGAGGGTGCACCTCAAGGGCCCAGCTGGGAGATTAGGTAGGCTGTGCCACTGGACCCTACAGGACACCTACTACAACAGGCCACCCTAGGAAGCCCAGGAGTCATAGCAACTCTACCTAATACATAGAAACAAACACAGGGAGGTAGCCAAAATGAGGAGACAAAGAAACAGGTCCCAATGAAAGAACAGAACAATACTACAAGAAAAGAACTAAACAAAATGGAGAAAAGCAATCAATCGGATGCAGAGTTCAAAACACTGGTTATAAGGTTGCTCAAGGAACTTAGTGAGAACTTCAAGAAACTTAGTGAGAACATCAACAATGTAAAAAAGGACCAGAAAAGCCCTGGCCAGTTTGACTCAGCGGTTAGAGAGTCGGCCTGCGAATCAGAGAGACCTGGGATTGGTTCCCGCTAGGGGCACGTACCTCGGTTGCGGTTTGTCCCTGGCCCTGGATGGGTCATGCAGGTGGCAGCCACTCGATGTGTCTCTTTTGCATTGATGTTTCTCTCTCTCTCTCTTCTTCTCTCTCCCTCTCACTCTATCTGAACAAAAAAATGAAAAAAAAATGTCCTCGGGTGAGGATAAAAAAAAAATAAAAAAGGGACCAGAAATGAAGGATACACTAACTGAAATAAAGAATAATTTACAGGGAATCAATAGTAGAGTAGGTAAAGCCAAGAAGTAACCATAGAATTAGAATATAAGGAAGCAAAAAACACCAATCAGAACAGCAAAAAGAATACAAAAAATGAGGATAGTGTAAGGAGCCTCTGGGACAACTTCAAGTGTGCCAACATTCATATCATGGGGGTACCAGAAGGAAGAGAGAGAGAGCAAGAAATTAAAAACTTATTTGAAAAGATAATGACAGAAAACTTCCCTAACTTAGTGAAGGAAACAGACATATAAGTACAGGAAGCACAGAGAGTCCCAAACAAGATGAACCCCAAGAGGCCCACACCAAGATACATCATCATCAACATGCAAGAGGTTCAAGACAAAGAGAGAATCTTAAAA